AGATTATACAGAAGACTATGTAAAATATATGTGTAATTTAAAGGATATTCCTTGGTCAGGAAATAGAGCATTGTCAAGCACCCAGAGGCCTTCTACCTGGTGCCTTTATCAATCCTTTCTCTGCCTTTAGAGGTAACTTATCTTGTGTCCTGATCTTTTCCTCAGTTTTTTTAGTTTCATCATCTCTGTATGCTTCACTAAGTAATTTATAATTAGTCATTTTTAATTTGCAAGCATTCCTTTGTGTTTTGCTGCTATTATTTAACACGTTTGTGATATTCTTATTGTGGTGTGAGACTAGTTCAGTGATGGCGAACCTATGACATGCATGTCAGAGGTGACACGAGAACTCATTTTTTGGGTTGATTTTTCTTTGTTAAATGGCATTTAAATATATAAAATAAATATAAAAAATATAAGTCTTTGTTTTACTATGGTTGCAAATATCAAAAAATTTCTATATGTGACACAGCACCAGAGTTAAGTTAGGGTTTTTCAAAATGCTGACATGCCGAGCTCAAAAGGTTCGCCATCACTGCTCTAGTTCATTAATTTCAGTCCTATATTGTATTCCTGAGAAATGAAGGAGTATATATTATTTTTGACACAGTTGATATTTTGTATTTTTTCCAAAAGCCTAAAAATGTTTTTCTTTACCCAGCAAACTAGAGGCCTGGTGCACAAAATTCGTGCACAGGCAGGGGGCAGGGGTCCCCTCAGCCGAGCCTGCACCCTCTCCAATCTGGGACCCCTTGGGGGATGTCCGACTGTCCCTGGGATTGGGCCTAAACCAGCAGCTGGACATCCCTCTCATAATCCTAGACCACTGGCTCCTAATCGCTCACCTGCCTGCCAGCCTGATCGCCCCTCAGTGTCTCTGTATGCCGGCCTGATCGCCCCTAACTGTCCCCTGCTGCTGGCTAGGTCGGTCCCAACTGCCCCCTCCCTGCTGGCCTGGTCTCTCCTAACTGCCCCGCCCTGCAAACCTGGTCACCCCTTACTGTCCCCACCCACACCAGCCTGGTCGCTCCCAACTGCCCCCCCCACCGGCCTGGTTGCCCCTAACTGCCGGCCTGGTCGCCTCTTACTGCCCCCCATGCCGGCCTGGTCACCCCCATCTTCCCCCCTCTGCCAGCCTGGTCGCCCCACGCAGCCTGCTTTTTGGTCATTTGGTCATCTTTCACTAACCCCCCCCCCCTGCCAGCCTGGTCGCCCCACACAGCCTGCTTGTTCAGTCGTTAGTTCGTCCGTCACTAACCCCCTTGCCGGCCTGGTCATAGGCAGCCATTTTTGAGGGTGAGGGCGTGAGGGTTAATTTGCATATTACCTCCTTATTATATAGGATACTTTGTAAGTGGCTATTGTTCTATGTGCTTTTTTTTCTTTTTTTTTTTTCAGCTGCATGTGACAAAAGAACCAAATAAGCAAAGCTTAAACCAGCGGTTCTCAACCTGTGGGTCGCGACCCCTTTGGCGGTCGAACGACCCTTTCACAAGGGTGGCCTAAGACCATCCTGCATATCAGATATTTACATTACGATTCATAACAGTAGCAACATTACAGTTATGAAGTAGCAACAAAAATAATTTTATGGTTGGGTCCCAACATGAGGAACTGTATGTAAAGGGACAGAAGGGCCCTGACCAGTTTGGCTCAGTGGATAGAGCGTTGGTCTGCAGACTGAAGGGTCCCAGGTTCGATTCCGGTCAAGGGCATGTACCTTGGTTGCGGGCACATCCCCAGTGGGAGGTGTGCAGGAGGCAGCTGATTGATGTTTCTCTCTCATCGATGTTTCTAACTTTCTATCCCTCTCCCTTCCTCTCTGTAAAAAATCAATAAAATATATTAAAAAAATAAATAAATAAAGGGCCAGAAGGTTGAGAACCACTGGCTTAAACGATAATGAACTTAGTATCTTAGTGATTTCATTTCATACAATCTTAATTTCTGTCTCTTACATATAATGAAACTTAAAAGGAAAATTCTAACCAGAGGGGAAGATTCAGAACAAATATGGCAAATGTCCTTACCTCTACACATTGATAACATAAACACTTAAAACAGTATAAAATGGTAAAAGATAGGAAGAGACATTTCACAAAGAAATAGGAAAACTAGTATGCAGGAAAAATGTTAAATTGCATAGAGATTTTAACATTTGCACTAGAATTAAAGTCGTTTCTTTTATGGCACCTTTTTTTTTTTAATCTCTTTGTGGAACCCAGTAATTTCCAAGCAGTTATTTTTTAAGAAGGTTGGTTCAAAAATCTACAAAGTCAAAGTCAAGTTCTGGTAATTTTTAATTTTCTTGCATTAGCAATTCTTCTAGTACAGTATGATTTACTATGTCATCATACAAAGACAGCATTAGAGAGTGTACATGGCAGGGTAAAATTAAACACATGCTCACAATCAAATTAATGTATTTCATCTGTCTTCAACTAATAACAATCTGTCATGTTATCTATCTGAGTAGGGGCATAAACAGTTTATTTTGTGTTTGGAGTAACTTCCTGGAGGTAGTTAATGTGACAAGTAGTTTGTTTGAATTGAGTATAACCAGATCAACACTCTAGATGTTTCCTTGATAACCTAAAAATTACTGTGAAAATCTGTGCAAGTGCTATATTTGTATTTTGTTTTTACTTTTTTAAGTTAGACAGTGACATATTTTACAATCATTTCACTGAGAATATTCTGTTTCTGACATCATACGTGGACTGAGGAGCACAAATAGTTTATACTTTTCATGTTTTTTTTCCATTGACAGAATAGACAGTAAAATAATTAATTAGCACCATGTAATACTTTCCATTTTTTTAAAAAAGTGTGAAGTAATGCAATCTGGTGTGAATAAAAAATTCATATTCATTATAGAATATGTTCTTATAGCATGTTGAAAATGAGTATTTAGGAAGATAGGAATGTTATAAAGTTCAGGCCAATATAAAAAGTAATATCACCCCTAACCGGTTTGGCTCAGTGGATAGAGCGTTGGCCTGCAGACTGGAAGGTCCCAGGTTCGATTCTGGTCAAGGGCATGTACCTTGGTTGCGGGCACATCCCCAATAGGGGGTGTGCAGGAGGCAGCTGATCGATGTTTCTCTCCCATCGATGTTTCTAACTCTCTATCCCTCTCCCTTCCTCTCTGTAAAAAATCAATAAAATATATATTAAAAAATTAATATCAATATTATTGTGATGTTTTAAAGAATTTTAAATTTTACTCAAAATTTTACATCAGTCTGATAAGTAGCCCTGATTATTGTATGCTTGATATATCTAGTTTTTAAGCTATTTGTTACAGTTGGTACTGTATTTTTAAAGACTATTCTGTTCACTATATCTAGGGGTGGGGAATCTTTTTTCTGCCTAGGTTCATTTGGATATTTATAACATTATTTGTGGGCCATAAAGAATTATCAACTTAAAAATTAGCCTGCTATATTTGATCCAATCATTTAATTAACTCTTCCCTGATGCTTTGGCAGGGCCAGACCAAATGATTTCAAGGGCCTTATCCAGCCCACCCGCTGTACATTCCCCACCCTTGCTATGGATAGATGCAATGAAGATGCCTGAATGCCAGTAAACAAATAGGCCTTAAAAAGAGAAGTTTTCATAGGAAACCATCAACAACAAAAAAAGACAACTTACTGAATGGGAGAAGATATTCGCCATGATACATTGATAAAAGGGGTTAATATCCAAAATTTATAAAGAACTCAGACAGCTTAACACCAAATAAACCAAACAATTAAAAAATGGGCAAATAACCTGAATAGACACTTCTCCAAAAAGGACATGCAGATGGCCAATAGACATATGAAAAGATGCTCAATGTCACTAATCATCAGAGAAATGCAAATTAAAACCACAATGAGATACCATCTCACAGGTGCCAGAATGGCTATCATCAATAAATCAACAAACAACAAATGTTGTTGATTTGGAGAAAAGGGAATCCTTGTGCACTCTTGGTGGGAATGCAGACTAGTGCAGCCACTATGGAAACTGTGGATGTTCCTCAAAAAATTAAAAATGGAACCGACTTATGATCTAGTGATTCCACTTCTGGTATATTTCTAAAGAAACCCAAAACACTAATTTGAAAGAATATATGCACTTCTATGTTCACTGCAGTATCCTATATAATAAAGAGCTAATATGCTAATTAGACTGAACAGCAGAATGACCGTCCGAAAGCCGGGGCTGCGAGGGGCTGCGAGGGCTGGCTGAGGCAGCCAGGGCTGCAAGGGCCAAGCCCCTTGCACAAATTTCATGCATCGGGTCTCTATTCCTATATAATAAAAGCCTAATATGCTAAGTGTCCGTTCAGCCAATCAAAGCGTAATATGCTAATGATATGCTAAGGCTGCTCAACTGCTCGCTATGATGTGTACTGACCACCAGGGAGCAGACGCTCTGACTGGTACGTTAGCTTGCTGCTGGTGTCTGGCCGATCGGACTGAGCGAGATGGGCCAGACACACCCTGGAGCCCTCCTGCGGTCCCTCCCCAGCTGGCCTCCTGCATCCCTCCCTGGCCCCAATCGTGCACCGGTGGGGTCCCTTCTCTTGGCCTGTGCCCTCTTGCAATCCAGGACCCCTCAAGGGATGTCGGAGAGCCGGTTTCAGCCTGATCCTGCAGGCCAGGCCTAGGGACCCCACTGGTGCATGAATTTGTTATTTATAATAGCCAAGATATGGAGGCAACCCAAGTGCCCATCAATAGACAAACGGATAAAAAATAGTGGTACATTATACAATGGAATATTACTTGGCCATAAAAAGAATGAAATCTTACTACTTGAGACAGTATGGATGGATCTAGAAGGTATTTTGCTAAGTTAAATAAGCCAGACAAAGACAAATGTATGATTTCACTTACATGTGGAATCTAAAGAACAAGATGAACAAACAAAACAGAAACAGACTCATAGACAGAAAGAACAGACTGATGGTTGCCAGAAGGGAGAAGAATGGGGGTTGGTTGAAGAAGTACCAATTGGTAGTTACAAAATAGTCATAGGGATGTAAAATAAAGTGCAGGGAATACAGTCTAACTGTGTATACAGTGCCAGGCAGGTACCTGAAATATTGGGAGGGACACTTTGTAAAGTATATGATTGCCTAATTGCTGTGCTATACACCTGCATCAAATACAAAATAATGTTGAATGCAAACTGTAATTGAAAAACAAAATTAAAAAGAAGTTGTCATTGACTTGCATGATTAGCATGTGTGTGTTTTAGAAGTGAAAATATATACATAATTTTAAACACGTAAATTAAATTTAATAAATTATTAAAGGTATTAAGCTCATTATTGATATTTCTATCTCTCCCTCTCCCTTCCTTTCTCTGAAATTAATAAAAAGAAAAAAAAAAGATTCAAATAATATGTGAGTGGGGATATGGATGAAACAAGATTGGTCATGTTTGGATAATTGTTCAGGCATCTTTCCTTGTATTTTCCAACAAAATGTATTGACAAGGGAAAATGTATTTCTGTTTTCAGACTGTTTTCTATGTATTACTTGAGCCTTTTAATGGCAGAAAAAATATTTCTACAATTGTAAATTTAAAACATTTTTTCCTAGTAAGTAAAAATACAAAATATTCTTCTCAGTTTATAATTAAGTTTAATGTAATTTTTTGACTCTTAGATTGAGTATTGCATAACCCAAATTACAGAGACAACTATACTATAATGCTTAGGTTTTTATTACCTTTCTAATTATAATTTCAAGTTATCATTAGTGAATAACTCAAGACTTGGTATATAAGAGGAAGAGATTCATTTTTAACAAGTAGATGTAGATCTGTATTTTAAATTGTTTTTCTATTAGTTAAGGTAATGTTAGATGCTAGACAAACAGTTCCTAAAATTTCAATATCTTAGTTCCTAGTAGTGATGCACGTTAGTTCTTCATTGCATTGGTCAGAAGTTTGTCTCATGGTCACACCTAATTGCAAACTAATCTGGGAAGTGTAGTGTTGCTAACCAGTCTGCCCATCTTATCATTATATGTCTACTAGAGGCCCGGTGTACGAATTCGTGCATAGGTGGGGTCCCTCCTGCCTGATCAGAACTGTCTTGCTCAGTCCCGATCGGGCCAATCGGGGCTTGGGGGAGGGACTGTGGGACGTTGGCCAGCCAGCGGGAGAGACCGCAGGAGGTTGGCCAGCTGTGGGAGGTTGGCTGTGGGAGCTCACTGACCACCCAGCCGGCTGGGGGGAGGGACCACAAGAGGTTGGCCGGCCAGGGGAGGTTGGCTGTGGGAGTGCACTGACCACCAGGGGACAGCTCCTGCATTGAGTGTCTGCCCCCTGGTGGCTAGTGCACATCATAGCTACCGGCTAGTTGTCCAGTTGTCTGATCATCAGGTCATAACGGTCACTTAGGCTTTTATATATATAGATTTTTCTCTTTTTGTTAAGAACAGCGAAGGATCTTAGGTTTCACCCTGCTTGAAGATAACAAATTAGCTTACTACCTCCATGGATACTGGCAGAATGTATGAGACTCCTGGGTCTGAGATGAAAGACTTTATTACTCATAGCAAGCAGGATGAGTTCCATATTTGCATTGGTTCTCTTTGCACCCCAAGTTTCACCTGGGCAATGTGACCTCCATAGATGATGTGCATGCAGTGATCTGTATTAGAACTGAGGAACCCAGAGTTAAGGGAACCTAAATCTTTTATAATAGGTCAGAAGTCAATCTCTGACCTTTGCTCTCAAGGGAGATATTATTATTATTATTTAATGATCTTAAATATAATATTACATGCAACAGGGGAGATACTATTTTTATTATACCAGTCAATAAAGAGACTTGCAGTTTGTGTCTGAGGGAGACATTAGCTGTATGTATGCTGCTTGCCATGCAAACATCTTTGAAAGGATAGTTTAAAACAAAAGTTCATTTTAAAATTTTACTTTTCTCAATTTATTGTTAAACTTTATTTTTAAAATTCTAGTATATTTTTCTGTCATTTACACACATATATGCATATATAATATGCTTACAAAGTAAGAATTTTACCATATGCATAATTGTGTACTCTACATTTTAACATCCTAAAGTATTGTGTATTTTACCTAGTAGTCTTTTTCCAGCTTTGTTATATACTAGAGGCCCAATGCACGAAATTTGTGCAAGGGCCTTGGCCTTGGCCCCCACCCGCTGTGGCTTTGTCCAGAAGGACGGATGTCCGGAAGAACGTCCGATCTAAGTAGCATATTATGCTTTTATTATTATAGATAATACTAGAGGCCCGGTGCACAAAAATTTGTGCCCTCGGGGGGCGGGGGGAGGGGGGTCCCCCAGCCCAGCCTGTGCCCTCTCGCAGTCTGGGACCCCTCGGGAGATAATGACCTGCTGGCTTAGGCCTGCTCCCGGGTGGCAGAGGGCAGGCCCAATCCCTAAGTGCAGCCCCTGGTCAGGCTCAGAGCAGGGCCGATTGGGGAGTTGGGACACCGCCCCCTGTCATGCACAGAGCAGGGCAGATCAGGGGGTTGGGGCACTGCACCCTGTCACACTCAGGGCAGGGCCAATGGGGAGGTTATGGCTCTACCCT